CCTGGCTTCCTGCCTAGTCCTCTCCTGTCTCCTTCCACCAACCTCACTGCCTCTCACGTCCCCCACTTTGTGCCATACGCCTCTCTCTTCACAGAAGAAGCCACTCCTTCCCCCCAGACTACCTCTCCTACCCACACCTTCAACAAATCTGCTCCTGCAGCCTCTCCTGCCAGCCAGATGCAGCACCATGCTGGGACCCAGCCATTAGATGTTGCTCCAGGTAGAATTCCCGTTTATTATCAGATGTCCCGCCTCCCACCGGGGTATTCAGCATACGAGACACCTACAGCAGGGGGAAGCCCAGAGTCTCCTCAGCAAGACAGTCAGCTGAGTTCAGAGGTAGCTGCTGCCAATGGTGGACAGAGACATCTGGAGCATACTGTGGTGAGGAGGACCAGTGAGGCTGTGGACTCTGCCAGCAGTAAAGCTGAGGACTGTCTGCCAGAGGCTGCAGCAGGATGTGTGGCTGACGGACAGTTCCTTTCAGGTTACCAGACACTGGGAACAGAGGACTCTGTGCCCATTCACAGAAGCACCCCAGACACTGATCTTGAGGTTCAGAGGGTGGTGGGGGTGTTGGCATCTCAGGATTATCATGTTCTGGCAGCCCAGAGGAAAGATGACCCAATCCCTTTAAACCTTTGCCATAACATCCCTGATCAGCAGGGGGAGTCAAAGGATGTGCTGAGGAACATGGTGGAGAGGGCTGCTGCTCAGAAAAACCAGTCCAGGAGTCCATCTGTAATGTCCCCTGAAGAGCTGGTTAGACAAAGACAGTTAACCAAAGGAATGGTGATAGCCAACGGCAAGCCAGTCCTGGTTCCTGTTGGATCCGAGCCCATCAGGTCTTCCACTTCAGAAACCCTGGTGAGGCAAAGCCCGGATGCACAGGCTCAAGAAAGCGTGCTGGAAAAGGACCTGGCCCAGCTGCAGCCACCCAGCTCCTCACGCTTGCCCTCTCACTTCATGAAAGGAGCCATCATCCAGCTGGCCACAGGAGAGCTGAAGCGGGTAGAGGACCTGCAGACTCAAGACTTTGTTCGCAGTGCAGAGGTGAGCGGAGGCCTGAAGATCGACTCCAGCACAGTGGTGGATATTCAGGAAAGCCAGTGGCCTGGGCTTGTCATGCTGCATTTTGTGGTTGGGGAGCAGCAAAGTAAAGTGAGCATTGATGTGCCCCCAGAGCATCCCTTCTTTGTGTATGGCCAGGGCTGGTCCTCCTGTAGCCCAGGGCGGACTGCTCAGCTCTTTGCTTTGCCCTGTCACCGGCTGCAAGTGGGCGATGTCTGCATATCAATCAGTTTACAGAGCATGAATGGCAACTCTGCTTCTCAGGCTAACTACCCTCTCACAGATCAGTTGATATCTACTAGGGAGAGATCTGAAACAACAGCTCAGGGGTCCACAGAACCGTCTGACAGAGCTGCTGAAAGAGTGAGCCACACAGATAGGGACAGCGTGGCCCAGAGCTCTCGTGCAGAACCCTCTCAGCCTGAGACTGGCAGTCAGCACAGCTGGACAGCCCCAGGCTTCCAAAGATACAGCATGCAGGCAGAGGAGCCTCGGCCCGCTCTGCTCCGTCCCTCTTTCATTCCCCAGGAGGTCAAGCTGTCCATCGAAGGGCGTTCTAATGCGGGGAAATGATCCCTTTGAGGCTGTGAGCTGGGGCATCCCCTCTAGGTGAGCCTCACCATCAGGTGGAGAAATTGCACAGACTTAGTGACAGGTTCACCAGCAAGGCTGCTTTCTGCCCTGCAGGGCTGGATTTATTCCATCCAGTTCAGTGGCTGACCAGTTCCTCCTGGGGAATCAAGAGGGCTTCAGTGCCTCAGGGAGCAGCAACAGGCTGGCTGGGGTAGAGAATGGGGATGTGATCAGAGAGCATTCCGGAGGCTGGGGCTTTCTCCCACCTCCCTGAGTAACTGATTCCCTGCGGGGCAGGGTCTAAGCATTCAGGATAGGTGGGGAGATGAGGAGGGCAGACACGGCTTAAGGTAGCAGATAAAATTGCTGAAGATTTTATTCCTCCTTTCTCATGGTGGGGAGAGATGGGTCCCCCCTGGAGTTTAGGGGGCTCTACTCCCAGTATCCCTTTTCTTCACACATGCACTTTAAAAGGACCGTTCACCGATGGAGCTCTTGAGGGCAGGACAGAGATGCTTCTCTGGTGGTTCTGTTTAATGTCTCTTCCACTGAATCCAACTGCTCTTTCTTCTTGCAAAGAATGTACAGATTTGAATGAATCACAGAAGTTCAAGAGGAAGGACCAAAAGAATGAGTTTGGGTGTAGGTGAATAGGGAACTTGAGCACTTGGGATGGGACATGAGTTGGGATGGGAGACAGCAGTTTCCTGCTATAAAATACATTTAATTATTTGCCACCAAATCAAATCTTTCTTCCCATGTTAATAATGTTAAAAAATCTCTCTTGGGCTTATAGCTTTCGCAGAGGCTTAGCCTGTGGGTGAATGGGGTTGGGTGGTTTGGTTTTGTTGGGTTTTTTTTGGTTGGATTTTGGGGTTTGTGAGATTTTTATTTTATTTTTTTTTTAAAGCTGGAGCAAAATATCTTTTGCATTCTCTTGGGAAGGATGGAGACACATCCTTTTTCTGTGAGAAGACCGAGACTATTTTGTAGTTAAATCAGAAGAAAACTTTCCAGATGGCTAATTCTTCCCTGCAGGCAGTTTCCTGAATAAGCTCTAGACAAAAGATGAGTGTTTGTGCACGTGCAGGCAAGGTACAAAGTTTCTGTGAAGTACAGTTCTCTGATTAATGTAGAGACTCTAAAAATATCACAGCATCATAGGGCATTGTGGGATGTTTTTGTGTTAGTTTTTCTGATGCTTCACTTTGGAGCTCCTCCGTAGAACAACATGGTAAAATCAAGAGTAGTCTTTTTCACAGTGAGATTTAATACAAATTTATATTAATACCTCGTTATGATAATACTCCATTCAAGTGAAGGCTTCTGTAGTTACACTAATTTGCCCTCTCTGATGGTGTGTTATGGCACCAGCTCTAACTGCTTAGCTAGAATAAAAAGTAGTCACTATTATGTTGAGGATAAGTCTTCGCTGACTTAACTTGGGTTAAGTATTCCTGGTGTTAAGGTGCCCATCTCTGTGCTTTTGAGAGGGTTTCTTGTCAGTGCGCAGGTCCCCGTTAGAGTCCTGATGCTGCTCCTGATGCTCAGCATACTGTTTTCTGTCTCCCTTCTCTCATCCTCCTGAAGTTTTCTGTCAGGCATGCCTGACAGATGCTTCTCTCTCCCCAGATGGCTTGTGTGTTAGCACCTCTCCTTGGCGTAGCCATCCTTTGGTCAGCTTGCAGTGGGGGTGTCTCAGGGCTGTTCTGCACACTCTCCAGGAATGTGGCCTGTAACCGGTTGGCTTCAGTTGACGCTGTGATGGAGGGGTGCTCTGTCTGGGTATTAGGCATATTAGAGAGTCTTCAGAACATCCCTTCCACCCAGGCCGTCAGTCCTGTTTTCCTAACGTGTTGCTAGCCCTTTCTGTTGCCTTTGAAATGCCTGCACCAGGACAGTTTCTTTTTCAGGCCTTAGGTGAGATATGCGCTACTCATGCCTTCAGTGTTTGTGCCTCACGGAGGTTTCTCCAGAATGAGGATGCTGCCTGTATCACATGTAGCTTCCCCAAAATGACACACTGCTTCTGATCTCATCCGCTGCATTTGAAATGTATGAAGTCACGATGATGCTGTCATGTGAAGATTCTGCCTCCTTGGATGCAGCAGCTGTGGGAACAGATGCTGTTTTCGTGGCACCATTTGTCAGTAAAATGTACTGTCCGGGCTCAGGAGCCTGGCCTCATCACCTGTGTGTTTCACAGTTGCTATTTGTTGGACTCCCCTACGCAAAGACCTTGATTAATGTTGGTTAGTACTTAATGCTCAGGGTGTCCGTGGCCAAAGGCAGAAGAGCCCAGGTTCTCTTGCCTGTTCTTTATGTGGTGCATGCAGAGGAATTCAGAGCTCTGGCAGGCAGCTAAGAAAGGGATTTTGCATATGTATGGCGTGTGAACGTAGACGGGCTGGTTGCAGCATAGAGGGCATGTCTGAAGAACTGAAGGGTGCAGAGCCCCTTGTGTGCATCTTTGAACACAGAAGTCTCTGTCTTTTAGAGAAAGGGTTTGGAGAGCCTGCCTTATCTCATGTGTGTTACTGTAACTACTACTCCTAAATCTCAGCCACATTGAACAGTGGTCTGACAGGGCAGACACTAGTTTATGAGGCAAGATGCTGTGTGGCTAAAATAGCTTTGTACTGTTGGCAGCTGAAGGGCTGTGAAGGTGCTCACCCTGGACTTTGGCTAGCTGCACATCTGTTGAGTGAGGTTCTGAGCTCTGTGGAACAGGCTATGGTGAATTTGACCTCGGTGCTTCTGTCCAGACTCTGTCAGTCCCACTGTTGTGCATGTTTCAGCAGCCAACTCTTCTATGGAAGCGATGGTTTGGGGCACATCTCATGGTGGGGCCTTGAGATGAAGAACCTGGGCACCTGGCTGCTTACCCCAAAGGCAGTGGGCCGGAGAGGGCCACTGGGACCCTCTAGCCCAGCTTAGCAGTACTCGTGATCACTGGAATCTGTCCTTACTGGGTTGGGTTGAGTTGCTCGGCGCTTGTCATGGTGATTGTGTTGAGCGTTGAGGCTCTCCTGAGACAGGGAGTGTGTGAGACAGGCTCTGCTGCAGGCAGAAAGGCTGTGAATGAGCCCATGGAGGAGACTTTTATTTCTTAGGTTTACAGGGAAAGGAGGAGACAAAGCCAGGAGGACATTGTGGAATGAGATGGTTATCCAGGCTTTTCTGCTGGCGGAGATGTGACAGGCTTCTCAGAGAAATATACTGTTTTCCTGCTGCTATTGTGAGGGAGAGCTGTGGTCTGTCCTACCCGGAGGAGGAGGACTCCTGGCCTTGGTCTTATCCAGCTCACACTCTGTGGCAAGAGTCTGTAGGATGCAATAACGGGTGTCTGTAGCCGTCTGTCTCATCTCACGAAACATTCCTTGGGTCAGCTGCCCAGCAGAGGCCAGGCCTGTTTCTAGGCTATGTGTACACTGTTGCTCCAGGAACATGAGACTTGCTCCAAGCAATGAGCACTCATCACTACCAGACTATGCAGAGGAAGCTCTGTCTGGAAAGCAGGAAAGCTGCAGAGGCCCCTCTGCCTCCCCTTTCCAGCAGGTGCGCAAGTATAATGCACTTTTCACATTAAGTGTCCCTGCGCCCCCTGTCCCCACCCCACACTTGAAGTCACGTTCCCCTATATAAAACTAACAATCCTTGTTACTCAGCAAATATTGTGAAAGAAACTACAGCAGCTTGAGTAGCCCAAATGCTAGTTCCTGCCCTCAGCAGTACACGTGCCTTTCCCCAGCATCACTCACAACTGCTCTTTGTCTTTACGGCTGTCCTAGGCCCCGACGCTTTGCAGAAGCTGCTACGATGCACATTCTGTAGAGTTTGGCCCAGGGTGTGTTCCATGTATGGCTTAAAATGCTGATGGTCAAGGCCCTTCCACGGTCTTCACATCTGTCCACAGAGGACAGGACTTGCCCCTAAGGTCCTTCTAGGCTGCTGCCACCCCACCCTGCACGTGCACTCGTGCACATTCTGGTTGTTTTCCGCTTTCATGGCACCTTAGCGTCAGGGGAGGGTCTTGCCCGTGCAAAGCAGAGAAGCAGATGTGTCACGCTGGGGAAACTGGCTGGGCTGCCCTGAGGCAAGGAGGTCTTTGTAGATAAGTGCTGATCCCTCAACTATAATCCCAGTTATGTAATGGCTGTATTAACATGTAACCGACCGCATTGTATCTAAAGCCTTAGAACTAGTCAGGTGCTCCCCTCCGACCTTGTTCCTGCCCCTTTCCTCCTACCTGATCTTTAACAAAGCATTAATAATTCTAAGGATAATCTCTATTTTGTTGTGCTTTTTTTGTAACTGTTTTAAATAAATCAATTTGTACTGTATATTTGTACTTTTGGTGAGATCCTTTTTCCTGTTTTACCATTTTAAGTCTGTACTTGGCTACACACAGATTGTATTTTTATTGTTAATGCTCTTATGAATATTGCATTTAACTCGTTGACTCTGTAAACACAGTATATATCTATATATATATATCTATATATATAAACCAATAGCTTTTCCTTTGGTGTTTGAGACTTTTTGCTTGTCTGTAGCATCAGTGATCATTAGGAAGCAGCTTCTCTGGTCTTAACACAGATTGATCTGGAGACTTGTGACAAGGACAGGGTAAAGGCTGTCTAACAGATGGATTATACACCATAATTCTGTGTTCAAGTACTTTTGCTTTTATGTGGTCTCCTTCTTGAACCCACTGGAGTAATGATCAGGTGCCAGTGACGCTGCAAGGAAAGTTTCAGCTACAGTTTGCAGAGTGAAGCTTTATCTCTGCTGGTCAAGCAAAACACACAAGATGATAGAGCAAAGGCAGTTGTTTTGAGAAGCAAACCATTGGCTTGAGGATGAAAATGGGCAGAGGTAAGAATAAAAGTGAGAGACCAGTTCAGAGAACAAAGGAAGATATGAACAAGGTAACATGGAACTGAACAGACCCTTTCCGAATCTGGTGCCTTTTCCCAAAGTGAGAGGCAAGGATGGCTCCTGGATGTCAGTTCTGTGTGATGAAGGCATGCTAAACCAGCTTCTGTAAGGTGAGGAAACAAGATGTCACAGTGGCACGTGGAGGAAATTGTAGTATTGAAAAGATTAAATGCTTTTTGTAGCAGGCATCCACAAGACTGTCTGTAATGTTAGTTCATTATCATGAAAAAAAATGCAACATTATGCACTTTGAAGGCAACTATTATAAGTGTTAACTAGGGCTTTCAAAAGTTTTCAGGTTTCTGAGTAGTCTGGCTGAAAGGTTTTCCTTCTTCTTTTAACTTTTCTGATCTCAAGGAGGGTCACCATTTCTGACTTAATGCAGAGAAACAGCAATCTGAGAGAAGACAGTAGCTCCCAGTGCATTTAGACCACCATGTAACTGTACTGCAGACCGTCACTGGAAATGCCGGGGGTCTTCAGGC